GAATGACTTCAAAACAGATGGAGGCAGGTCTGTATTCTCCCACGTAGGTGGTACCCAGCAAAGAGAGAAGGAACCGCAAGTTTTACTTTAAACACATGCTTATTGATAAAGCCTCTGCTTACTTGCTTGTGGGGGTTTTATTTGCAGAAGAAATATTTCTGAATTGGAGAAGCAGAAACCCTTCCAGCCTGGTACCGAATTTTTTTTAATGAAGTGAGCATGTAAGAAGACAAAAAGTATTTCTAAAGCCACTTGAAGTTACTAACAGAAACTGCGTACTCAGACACAAACTGAAGGATTTCCTGCAGCATGTGAGGCCGTGCAGACAAGGATTACTATTGTTTTGCTGCTGACTCTAAAAATTCAAAGAATAGCTCAGAAATATAAAATATTTCCTAAACCTGTAAGACCTAATAATTACTAGATGTAATTTTAAAAAAATCTTAAGTAGACTTATGATTTGACAGATCAGATTTTTTGATTGCAAGTACCTAAACCAGAACTGAATATCAAAAGAATATTTGGTGTTATACAGATGGTACAAAATGCAACCAACTCACTTTTAAAATAAATCTTGAAACTATTTTAATATATTTAAAGTTCCCTATTAATATTCTGCATCTACTAAAGGATTTATATGAATGAAAAAAAATTAAATACTTTGTCAAAGGAGGACTGAAAAGCAACCATAATGAAATGTTTGCAGAAATAGTTGTTTCTATAGAGCTAGCAAAAATATACAGCCAGAAGAGATTCCATCCACGTATTTTGATTCATTGCATTTTGAGTAAATAGATAGGTATTTCAGCCTTAAATTTGCCTCATGTATTTTGCATTTCTCTAGCATTTTGGTTTTATTTTTCTGGTTTTAAGAACTAAATGTTTTCTCTTAAATAAATCCCTATCCCCTAGCTAATTTGGGGATTAATTCTGATTTTTTCCCTAAAGCAATTACTATTTTGCATATTTGCTTGGTAAGAACAGTATGTCACTTTGTGGTAAAAACGTACTTAAGTTTACACTTGAGATTGACCACTAGTTTTCACATCTAGTGCATAATTTTAATTCCTTTTTTTTTTTCAGGTGCAATTTGGATCCTCACCTTTTCCAGCAGGAGGAATTGAGTGCACAGCGATAGAAGCACACACATCTTCTGCACTTCGTCCGTAAAACCAAGGGCTCTGCAGCTCAGCCCTGCAGGCAGCTGCCCTGGAGCTGTGGGAGCTCCACGTGGAGCTGCCGGTGAGGCACGAGTGCTCTGTGCTTACAGGTGTTCATAGACCAGTGTCTCGAAGCATCAGGCTGGGAGCAGAGCAGCTGGTGTAATCTGAAGTGAGGTCAAAGCAGCAGAGGCCACTCCAGGCATTCATGTCATTCTCAGCTGGGTGATTATTTCATGGTACACAACAGCCAAGGAGTCCAGCTGGCAGACTCCCTCCAGGCTGCCACAGCTCCTCGCCCCCTGCTGCCACCTCCATGGGAACACTCCACAGCTTCCAGGTGTTAAGAGTCAGTCAGAAGATCAGCATTGTCTCAACATTGTCATCAGGGACATGGACAGTGAGGTAACTGACAGCGGCTTGCTTGGCCTTGCCAATCGCTGGAGTGGAATGCGGTGCCAAGGCTCCCAAATGCAGAGCTGTGTGGCACAGCGTGTGGTGCAGGCAGCGCTGGGCTGTTCTCCTGAGCACTGACCATGCGGTGCAGGCGGTGCTGGGCTGTTCTCCTGAGCACAGACCGTGCGGTGCAGGCAGTGCTGGGCTGTTCTCCTGAGCACTGCCATATCAATGAAGAAATTGTGAATCTTAGACCAACTTTGCTTCATTATAATACCAAACCACACCTCCTGGTGGAAGGCTACCTGCCTCCAAGACTGACCACACCTCGGACACCCCACCCCACGTGTGTGAGATGGCCTCACTTGAGAAGGGTGGAGACCCCTGAGGCAGAGGTGGAGCAAGGTGTGTTACTGAGCACAAAAGGATGACTTCTGGACAACGAAAATTGGAAGCTTCCCCACCAAGGACCACAACGATTGACGACGCAGCATCAGTTGGACCCGGGACCGTTAGGACGTCGTGAGATCAGCGGTGGTAGCTATAACCTCCCTCTCTCCTCTCTCTAAAACTTTACTTTTTTCCTTTCTCTCACCCGTCTCTATCGTGTGCCACTTCACGGGCAACAGAATCAAATTTCACTGTTTTATTACTGCTATCCCCTTTGGTCACCTTGATTTTGCACTTTCGAGATCGTAGCAAACGAACCATCATGAGTCCACCGAGTGGACCGTGACACCAGGGCAGAGGGTGAGGCCCAAAACGAGACTTCTCAGCCAAAGCACTCAGGCTGGTGCACTCCTGTCTTGGCAGGACCTCCGTGACGTGTTCCCACGTCAGCATCCCACCCCTGTGCTGGAAAAGCTGGACTGCCCCAACACCATCAGTGCAAGAACACTGCTTGCCCTGCAAGGCACTCTGCCCACACAAACGCTAACTGAAGAGCTGAGAAATCTTACTGATGCTCTCCACTGGCTGCATAAATCTTGTTTATTTGACTTTCTCCATTTCCACCCAAAGCTGAGCTGTCGGACCCAACAACTGGCCATGGATTTATGTTGCATGTCTGCAGATGGCTCAGCTGTGGCACACAGCTCGCCAGCAGCTGCTGGGTATTTTTTTCTCCTCACGTTTCCAACACTGGGGAGTGACACGTGGCTGTCTTTGGACAGCTCTTGAGTCAGCCTGGCCCTGCTGCTGTCCATTTGTGCTCTCTGCCTGTGGATGGAACACAGCATGCGTTGTGGGACAGCAGCAGCTGGAGAGTGGTGCAGCTGCCCTGCAGGCACAAGAGGAGAAGTCTCCAAAAAGGCTGTCAGCATCCTCAAGCCCTCATAAAATCTACCTTTCTATTCCAAACCATGATCAACACTCCCTTGCGTTATATACCCCTAAGTATTTCTGATCTGCTCTTCAAAGCTGCCAAAGCTTGCTTGTCAGGCTGTGACCTCCAGTGCCTCACACTGGCTTTCCTATTAAGTCATTGTCTGATGTCTACCCAGCTATGTTCTGACACCTTTCAAAGTGATGCCTCCTTTCTCCTGCTACAACAGAAAATACCAGATTACACTCTTGCTCCTTCCAGATTCAAAGCCTGCTTTTTCTGGTGAGCAGTAGCTGTACCTGTAGTCATCCCTGCTTTAGATTTCACATCAGTTACCTCTGAGGTAACTTCCCCTCAGCCAGTTTAGCCCACGCATATGGAAGATGGCTTGTCCACGCACTTTGGCCATCTTTTATTTCCAGCCCAGAAGGAATTGAAGGTAAACAGCCATGAAACTAAGGCAACTCACCCTTTCCTAACATCTTGATTTAAAAACCTGAAACTAAACAGCAACTCCCTCCAGCACATGGAAGATGAGGCAGATTTCCATGAGCAGTGGCTCTCCAGACATCCTTCAACTCTTTCCCACCACAGTGGAAGAAATGAGGTGAAGAAGGCTGCAAGGTGAGGAGGCTGTGGCACTTTTTAAGGCAACAGTGTCATTCTAAGCTTGCAGCTTCTTAGAAATCACATCTATACCCAAGGCATGATCCAATACAGACCTCATGATCCTGTTGCTTCAAGGGAGGACATGAAACAATAAAGAATCTCCCTTCCTGCAGACCAGTGAAATCCATTTCTGCAGTAACAGCTCCTGGGGACAGGCACACCATGTTAAATCATTAACACAATCTTTTGCAACTCCAATTGCCAACAGATGGAGCTACAAATTGTCACCGAGAGCACCACTATTTGGACGTTATCCAGTACAAAGGGGCCCAAGTCCATGCTGCCAAATCCTTAGGTGCTGCCACTATTTCTAGGTTTTGATTTTTCCCCATCCACAGATTTTCAGATTTTTGGCTTTAGTACAAAACAACTTCTAAAAGCTGGAGTGTTTAAGGCTGGTGCACTGGTGACACAGAAGAGGACTCTGGGGACCCTTTAGGAAGATGACATTTGAGGTAGAATTGGAAAGGACATCTAGCTTCAAAATGATCACACCCTATGGTGGTTCTGCAAAAGTATTAATGCATATTAACACCCAGAAAGGTATTACTATAAAGCCCTTTTTAAAGCTATTGCTTCACTATCCCTAAAGCTATTTATCTACTTGAATTTGCTTAGTTCTAATTACAGTGTAAGGAGGAGGAACAAGTACTCAACAGTAGACTGGTATCTCTCAAAGCCTTGAGCATGTGCAAGCCTTAAAGGTTAGCACCATGGGCTTCCATTTTCTCAGATTACAATAAAGCTACAGAACCTTAGGAGGATGATGCTCCAACTCACCCGGCTCTCACCTGTGTCAGCAGTACAATTTGGTGACCCGTGAAGCCAACGCTATAACCCATGTGAAACAAGTCAGAGCTCAACCTGTTTCCAGGAAGGTAGACAGCCATCACACACGCAAGAAAATCCCCTTTGTGGGCTGTCTCAGATGCTGTAGAGCTTTAGAAGGCAACAGGAACTAATACCCTGAGCCCTAGATCACAATTTCCATATCATTCTATCAAATCCCTGCTGAAGATACTGAAGAAAAAATTACTGTTCACTTCCGTTTCAAGAAAATGCTCAAACTACGTAGCACTCCAGACAAAAGCCTAGAACTCATCTTCACAAACTTGGCAAACATCAGACATGCTATGAGTGGAAAAAAAAAATTACGTGTCCAGCAAGCCTGATATGACAAGAGCAAACAAAACAAGGGAGCAAAAGCCAACAATTTAGTAGATATAAAGAGAGCGTGTCATCACCGTACTTTCTCAAAGACTCCAGGAAAAAGTACAGTCCAGAGTCTGGCCAGGGAAGAAGAAAAAGAAAACCAGATTTCCTGATCAGTTCAACTCTATATGGTAATGGTTAACCAGATCCTGACAGGGACATCTCCTGGTGAAGGTGCCATCTCGAGGCCACTTACAGGTGTGTATTACGTATGTAAAAAGAACTGAGAGAGAAAACAGTAAGTTTGGGGGATATTTTATGAAAAATAGGTGATGTTTACAAATAGAAGGCTACATGAACTACTAAAAATGAACATGCTTGCTGGAAGGTCCCAAGTGTGCCATCCAACAGCAAGAAGAGTAAGGCAGAAAGCTGCAGAAGTAGAGTAAGAATTCCAAAATGGTTTAGTAGTGCAAATAAATAGAAAACAGAAGTCAATCTTCTGCCACACAGGCCACTTCAGTGGAAAATTCTGCCAGGCTTTGGCAGCTGAAGACTCAGCATTTCAATCTCCTTTGAGAACTCTGCCTCTGCAGCATCCTAGCGAGAGAGAAAACCAAGAAGAATCAGTGATCAGGATACAGTTTTCTTATGTTCTTGTTAGACAAATGTAGCTACGATGATCTAACCTTGAGATATTATTAGCACTGATTAACCCAGATATCAAACCGGAAGCTCTCACTACTGCATATGGCAGTAGTCTCTGTAGACAACAGCAGAGAAATCTCCAAAGCAGCTCAGTCACCTTCAAACTGTACCCCAACGTGACATCAGACACCTCCAAGCTGAACGGGTACTCTCCAGAGGTGAGTATTCTGACCGGATAAAAGCCTCAAGCTGGGAAGGTAAGCTTGTATTTCTGAATCAAAATCAAGTGACTTACCAACCTGAGCGGTCCCATCTGAAAAAGTACAAATACTCTCAAACAACTGTGATTTTTTGATCACAGCTTTAGGACTTATCACTGACTACCCTGTGCTTTACCTATGAGCGAGCATACAGTAGCACAAAGAAATAAAGACAGGTTTTAAGCTCAAACATGGCCCAGCTCACTCAGAAAAGCTACGTATGAACTTCCCAAATGGCTTTATAGGAACGTTTCCCAACAACTTTGCCTGCAGACTAGACAAGCATGGATGAAATAGGCATTTCCTAGGGGAAGGTCCCCACTGCAGTCTACAAGGCAGCTCTTAAATAAAATACAGGCCCCCTCAGAGTTCAGGAGCAGCAAGGAAGGTTGTGGGACCAATGAGCTGCAACACAACCCACTGAATAAGCATTCTGACAGGTGAAGCAGACAAAATCCAGAGGGATACAGATACCTAATCCCCACTGATACCACTATGCCCAGCTGCCTTTGTAGCTTAGAAAACATTCCTCCACCAGTTCCTCCTACCAATATGCTCAGCTTCTGCCTTACCAGAGCAAAATCTCCCTCTAGAGATCATTAAGACTACAATCTGAGGTAGATGAATCCACAACCAATTAATATATATAGCTTGTTTGGAATGACAGCAGTTATCTGTGAAATATGTGTTAAAAAATCTTACCAGTTCTTTTTTTACTTCTTCAATCTTCTTGTCTACAAAGTAAGAATTCTGGTGAGAGAAAATGGCATAGAAATTAGTATTTCAGTTGGAAACACAGAGTCCCTGCATCACTGCAAGAGTCTAATGATGTGCTGCAGGGGAATTCAGGGGTAATGAAATCAGTTTTGCATACACCCTTCATACATAAAAGGTACTGACATCAAAAGCCTAGCATCAGTTTGGTTTAGGCAATCATGTATTTTTCAAGAGTCTGGTATCACCTAAAGTCTAAAAAAAGCCTTAATTTTTAGCAATTTCCCAAACCTACCTATCAAGGAACTGGATTATAAACATATCCATGCATGAATCTTCCAAAGCACAAGAAGCTTGCAAGGATGAATCGTCCTCCCTCATTCTGCCTGCACCAGAAGTGAGGCATTGGGGCTCTCCTATCTCCACTGACAGCAAGATGGGAGGGAGAGGGGGAACTGGAGAACCTAATCCAATTGGAACATCCTGCTTCACTTGAGGAAAGCAGGTGGCTGGCTCTTGGAGTAAGATGGATTCAAAAGAGAAGCAGTCCCACCCCTCTCCCTTCATCCTTTTCTTTTAGGAGGGAGACAGCAGCAGTTGTGGAGGGTGACGTGTTGAGAGGCAGGAACTTGATGCAGGGGCTAAGGGGGTGAAGAGAGAAGCATGGCCCAGGAGAAAGGTCCCTTGTTCATAATATGAGAGATCTGATTAACTGCAGTTTCTGTGTGATGACCTTTGGACAGGTCGCTCTGTTTCTCTTGGACCTCTACACCCCATTTATAAGAACTGGAATAAATCCTTTTCACCTCTTTCACAGTCAGGTCTGAGGCTAGTTCTATTAAAGCCTGTGGGGTGCTCCGATGAGGAAGTAACAGGGGCCATATCAGGTAACTCAGATACAAAACTGAACTAGACAGTTACAACTACTTAATAAAACCAAAACCCATTCAACTATTCACACTCCAGGATTTGCTATTTCTCCCAAGTGACAGAAGTATTTAATACTAGTCTGTAAAAGCAATGGCAATCTTCCAAAGGAGACCGGAAATACTTGGGTTTGGTAGTCCCAAATATCACAATGGCAATGTACAGACATTATACAAAGCCAAGGCCTTCTGTTTCATGCACTAAAGCCTTGTTTACCCATGATTTCTTTAAGCCACTGTGAAGTTGTTCACGAAATAACCCTTAACTGAAACAGTCTTTTGTAACAGGTGTTCTAATTTGAAAAGAGTAAAACTCTTTTTATAAAAGATGCTTCCCACAGCAGTAACTCCTAGCACAGGGACCAACAGTGACAGTAGCCAAAATATAAAATGAAGAAAAGATACACAGACAGTAGTCAAAACTACTATTTAGTAACCTAAATGAGAAACTTGCATTTTCAGAGAGCTGAGTACCCAGCACCCTCAGGAGAAATCAAAGAAAATGATGGAGCAGCCAGTAGTCATACATGCTAGAGTACTTTTTTGGGGGACAACACCTACATCTGGCTATTTCATCATAATCGTTCAAATCTTGCTCAGAGTTCCAACCTCTGCACAATGTGCTCTGTCCACCATATCGACAGCCTGATGACAGGTGTAGCCAGTATATTGGTAAATCTCAAAAAAAAAATGTTATACTAAGGAATTATGTTTTCTTCCACATTTGTCTAATTTCTAGCTAATTCACCTTGAGACTAAAGTCACCCAGAAAATCTGTGCATTCTGTTAGAAGAAAGTTTGCCTGGTAAGCAAACTTAATTTCTTGGATTTGATTAATACATAGATAGCCTTCTGTTTAAGTCTTCTGTTCACGTTGTTAACAGACCTATAGGACTGTCCACCAAAACCATCACAACAATATCCAAATTCTGAAGTCCATTCAAACTAATCTGATGGCAAATACAATATAAGATTGGAAAAAATAATTACAGGAGTTAAATCTAGGTAGAAGTCGAGTTCCTTCTTCAAAGCCGTAACTTCATCCTGCATTAGAGTCACGTCCTGCGAAGAGAGCAAGGCAGATTAGGTTATATAGTCTTACTTGTAGAAGTGATGTACATCAGTGAAACAGATCCAGTTACCTACAGCATTTCAGAATTCATAGATATTAGCGACAGCTTTCACGATCTTTCTTAAAAACCATGGAAAACTAAAGATCTGCTATTCATTCAGTTATCAATCAGTCACACCCCGTTCAAATTTTACACAGAAGTATCAATTAATTTTCCTTCGTTCTGAAGGAAATATACCTTCTCATACAGTTTCATTTTAGATACCTTTTTGTACAGTATAACCACCTGATCTCACCTCCCTAAGAGGGGATTTCAAATGAGACTCCACCAGACATAGGACTGTCACTGTAGGCCAGAGAGAGAGCTGAGCCCCAAGGAAGGGGACACATTCTCACACCTATGGCTTCTGTATGAAAACAGTTTTGCAGGTGCAGCAGCAGAAAGTCTCCCCTTACACTTCGCACAGCTTTGCTCTGATTACCAGCGAAATAATTTCTCTTTGGGGCTGAAAACTGAGCACCTTCCACAGTCCTCAACTCTTTCAAAGTGAAAAACAAAGCACTCCTGAAAGTAGTTTCTGCTGCCCAATTCATTGAGCTCTTGGCAAAGCAGATATAGAAGTGTCAGGGAGTCAAACCTGCCCTTATGCTCAGGTTTTAGAAGATGACAAGTCTAGAAAATTGCCTATGACTTTTGTATGTAAAATTCCAACAGAAATTATTTTTGGTTAGTACTGTTCTGAAACACTGGGCCATGTAAACACTGCCACCCAGTGCTGGTTCATGAGAACGACAACGTAAGAATCCGGAACCCTATTTTCACGGGTTTTAACTAACATGCAGAAAAAGCTATCAAAAGAAATGGGGAGAAAAATTAAGTTCTCATTATAGTAATAACAAATAATATTAAAGCATGGGGAGTGCAGACAGAACAACACAAATACATGTTACATGTATACAAATGCTTCAGCATGAAGCTGGAAAATCTATAGTTAGTAACTCAAGGACTGTGCTTCTTCCTTTAACAAATTATCCCACTGGGCTTACAATGTAGCTGAAAAATGTTGTATTTGAAGACACAAGAAAAAAAAACACACCATGGTTGAGAATTTAGGTTTCACTTGACCTCCTCTCCTTGCTCTGAATTGTCTGAAAGCAGGTTTATTTCAAACAAACTTGAAAGAATCACCTGGGTCATACTATCAAGTAATTGCAATACACAGGTAGCCACGAAACAGCATATAGTCCACAGAATATCCAATGTGCTTATAACATGGATCACACCTAGAAATTCTCTAGTAGGCTATATTCCCAATTACAGATGCATAAGGAAAAGAGAGGGGGAAAAAATCAAAAAGGCAACCAAAAAAAAGGATTCCAACTGTTTCCCTCAACCAGTTCAGAATGAAAGCTTCTTCCCAAGTCCAAAACAAGCCCATATCTAACCCTGAGGAACAGGTACCACTTCAGCACCTGCAGATGCTTCTCAGTTTCTGGGAGAGACAAATCCATCCAACACACCCTAGTTCAGAGGTATCCATCTACAGGATTTTTGTTTGTGCTTCTCTTTACCATTAGTATTTGTCCGGGTAACCAGATAGCAAATTACATCTCCTGAAACCACCCCATAAACTAGCCTGGTCTGTACCACTGTAGAAACATCCCTCTTGTACCAAAAGACTCACCTTAGACAGGTTCACGAGTGACTCATGTGTCTCTGCTTGGTCCAAGGCCCTGGTAGCAAGCTGCTTCTGCAAACAGAAAAGGATTCATTCATAACTGACCACAAAATATAGCAGGAAGGAGAAAGATTTTACTATTTCCCTAGGTTTCGATCTAAACAGGCAAACAAGAATGCAGTTTGTCAACAACAGAAATGTATGTGATTTGAACCACAGGTATAGCTGGTGTATGAAATCAGCTGCTACTAAAATCTGTATCAACAATAACAAGTCTTTCCAGAAAACTACTGTGAGAAGAGCACATGACAAGGCTGGGAAGAGGCTTCTCAGTAAGATGTTATTAACTCTTAATACAAGGTTTTCCATCTGGTATTTGTCAAGGTATTGGACAGCATCCAAGTGTGAAATAAAGCATTCACATGTCATTCATCAGTAGGAAAAGTGAAAGAGAAGACAGCACAACTTCTGCCTTCTGTGTTTAATCATTCATTAATTTAAAAAAACAGCTATATTCAGAATGGTGACACAATTTACCTCAGTGGATGAGCTGCTCTACTGGTAGCTGTCTCTATACTCTTACACGACAGCACCTCACAATAAGCACAAGGCAGTCCGAACTAAAACAGTTCTCAGTGAAAGAAGAGAAAGTGCCCTTGCATTGTTTATGGGGTGTCCTGGGGAGAGAGCATGAATACAGCAGGACAACTGAAGTGTAGTAATATGTCCTGTTAGTACAGGACCTCTGGTCCTAGAGTTCAGGAAGCTCCTGGGATGTCTCTGTAACTAGAATTTTGGGCCCAACCAACCATGACTAAGCCATCCCATTACAATGTCTTGTTAGAAAATCCCTTCCATCTACCTGAGCATCATTGATCTCCAATTCTAAATGGCAACATTTCTTTTTCATGAACAGCGCATCCTGCGACACACTGTCATCTCCAGCCTTGTCTGCTTCCAGAAGTTCATTTACATTTTTAAGATCCCTTTAAAAAAAGCACAAAAAGAAACAAACTTTTACATTCAAAGAGACATCAGTATACAAATACTGCTTAATTATCAATGCTCAAGCTCTGTAGTACAACCAACATGAGAAGGGAGAGAATGAAGAAAAACTTGCACTTCCCTGTGAGATTACCCAGTGGAAACATCTGGAGATGTTACATCCAGAGTCCTAAAGGCTAGGGAAAAAGTCCAAGGGGAAAGCCATCTGCATAAAAGCAGAAATCCCTGCATAATTTTCTAATTCAGTTAAGAGACCTGCTATGCAAACTAAACAAGATCACAGAGGGGGCCCATGGCAAACCTGCACAAAACACATAGGTCTGGTACCTTTGCTATAAGCAGCACCAAAATTACAAGTTTAAAAGACAAACCCAAGAAAATAATGAGACTGGAAGGGTGCTGTGGAGATCATCTAGGCCAATTCCTTCTCAAGGCAGGGGTTGATTATGCTATGCTTGGCAAAGCACTTCAGATTACATCCTCTAGGGAATAGACTTGATAAGAAATTTTTTTTTTGTTTTTTTTTTTTTGTTTTTTTTTTATTAAGTCTCTTACACGCTCATTAAAGGAAATTCTTACCTGGGAACAGTTTTTGTTTTGCGTGGCTCCTTCACTCTGACTGCAGAGCCCAAGCTAAATATGGTAAGAAAATGAGATTTGCCTTCAACCTCAGATGAAGGCAACTGATGGAAGATGCCAGCCCACATCTGAAAACTGCCTGTAGACCATTTTTTGGTTTAAAATAATGGATTTGATGGTACCTCAAATCTATTTTGATTACTGAATGTGTCCATAGCACATGGCTATTGACACATACTTCCAAATACGTGGATTAGAGAAAACCCTGAAAATTCAGTTATGCTTGTTAGTCATCACAACCAGTCTTCCACATTTCACAGATCAGCAGTACTGCTTACATCTTTCCCTTTTCTCATCCATTACTCACTCATTTAACTTCTTTTCCAGCATCAGCATTTCAGTTAGTTTTGTCCCGAGTCTCCTCAATTTCCATTGTATTTTTTTGTTTTTCAATTTTGTTGCATGCAGCTCTGAAGACATGGCATTGATGGCACAGAAGAAGCTGGTGAAAACAGATTCGGTGGGAATGCACAGGAGTCAGCTCTTCTGAAACTCAGAATTATTATTATTTTCTCCACACTTTCTACAAATTACTTTTTTTTTCTCCTCATATTGTGAAACATCAGATAACTGCCAGATATTTTAAAGGAGAAAAGTAAATAAGTCACTAAGGATATTTGCTTCCCTTAACTAATAAAGATTTCATCTGGAAGGGGAAACACCCCAGCAATTCAAGTAGGAGGAAGTGAACAAGACCTGGCACTCCAGTGAATATAACCACTGGGTTTGGTATGCTCAGATGCTCCCCTCCTAACTTGCCACACTGCCTTTGAGAGAAACTCTATTCAATCCCTGAAAACACATGTCTCCGAGACATACCCAGCAGTATTTTAGTCTCTTCCTGTCCAGGTTTTGGCTGGGATAGAGTTAATTTTTTTTAATCCTTCTTAGTAGCTGGAATAGTGCTGTGGATTCAGTATGGGATTTGATGTGAGAAGAATACTGATAAAGTACTGATGTTTTCAGTTGTTGCTAAAAGATCAAGCACTTTTCAACTTCTCATGTCCTGCCAGTGTGCAGGTACACAAGAAACAGCCAAAACAACAGACCCAAACTGTCCAAAGGAATATTCCATATCATATAGCAACATGCTCAGTATACAGGTAAGAGTTGATTGGGAAGCTCACTCTGGCTTCCAGGATTGTGGTTCTCTGGGATCACTAGCTGGGAATGGGCTGGGCATCAGTCAGCAGGTGGTGAGCAATCACATTGTGCATTACTCGTTTGTATTTTCTGTTATTTCTGTTATTCCTATCATCATTATTATTTCAATAATTAATTTGGTTTTATGTCCACTTACAAGTCCCCTTACCCCTCCAACTCTCTCCCCCACACCCTGGGGGTGGGTAAGCAAGCAGCTGTATGGTGTTTTGCTGCCAGCCAGGTTTCAACCACAATTCCTCTTGCCAAACGGTTTAGTGCAGCTTGACCCTCCAGTTCAGGAGAAGAGCCATAAGAACCAAGCTCCTGAACACTGCATAAAACTTTGATTCCAAGACAGATTTTGGCCCACCCTTCCTGCCAGTGCTCAGCATGAACGTGCTGTGTTATGGGTCAAAGCCAGGCTAGGGAGAGGGGCCCAGGAAGACCAAACTAACAGCTGCCATTTCTCTGTGGCTGAGAAAAATCTTACATTAACAGAGGTCAGAGAAGAGCAGGAAGAATGAGAAGCTGTGACAGAAGACCAGTTACAGTTCCCCAGTTCTTCCCTAAGCAGTATGAAACTTGCTCTAGCTTGTGCTACCTGACAAAACAGTCTGAGAGGCAGCATGCTGCATCTACTGACCACAAAAGCACAGGCAAAAAAGGAGGGATTTAACTCTGGTCGAGGCACTTCTCAGGCTTCAGAGCCTTCCTCTGCTGGGATAATCAAGAGTTAGAGCTTTCTGCTCAGTTCCTGTGTTCACTAAAACTGCCAAAGGGGTGCAAAAGAAGGTAGACCAGTAAGATTGCTGGTGTGAAAGTCAAGTCTGAAACTACTGAATTGAAAAAACAGAGGGAAACAGCACAGACCATCACCCCTGATGCACAGTGGGCAGAATTACCTGGCAAGAGAAGTGTCCTTTGTTTTAAGTATCACTGCGCTGTCTACCAGGACATTGAGGTTGTTGGTGCCTTCCTCGGACAGATTGATTGGGGAAATATCCAGGGCTTCTAAGAGAACATCCTGGAAATATTTAGCTGGAAAACAAATACAACCCCAAATAGTAATTTTTTTTCATTACTGTTCTTTTAATGCTTAGATGGGACTCTTCGTTTAACATATGCTAAAAATGTATTACAGTCCCCTGAACCACTCACCTGCTCCAAAAAAAATACATTATCAAACACTGACTCTAGACAGCTTGAGCATAATTTAATCACCTCACTGTTGTTTCAGATTCCTCAAGCGCTTTCCTTAACAGTGGATTAGCATCAGCTCAGACTTTTACATCAGCTGTAGGGTTGCTTCCCTCTCTATCTAGCCAATATTTCAATGCTGTGCTACTCAGTCCAGCAGGCTAGGGGGTTTTAACAATTAATCTGCTTGTTCATATTTACAGCCTGCTCAAGACGGCTTAAAAAAATTGCTCTTCACCAACCTTATGTCACCATGAATTTTGCTGAAAGGCAAGTACAGGATGCATTGTACTAAAAGCTATACCAGAACAAAATCTTAGTTCATTCCAACTATTTTATATTATATAATATTATATATTATTTCATATATATATTTGCTATACGATTTTAACAATCTTCAGGGTCACTAGGAAAAAACTAACTTTGATGAAACTGAGAACCTGAGCTTCAGACTTACTTTCGTTGTCATATTCTGTTGCCTTATGCTTCATGGTCTCTATCAGCAAAGACACATCCCTGTCTCTGGCTTCACTGCATTCTGCGAGATCATACAAGATATCAACTGTCTGTGTATCCACTTCAAACACTGGAACAGCCTCATCCCCATGTATCTTCTCTAGCCATGTAGTAAGCTGCCAGAGAAGGGAAAAAAAAGAGTAAACGGTCAAGTGAAACGACAGAAAATAGCTGACAGATGTGAGAAATGTAAAGTGCTGCAAGCTCTGCATTCCTAAAGAATAACTTCTACTACATCAGCTGAAGCATGGGTGGGAAAAGGGGTGACAACTTTTTCCCTTCTTCAAATATCCTCTGTCGTTTAGAAAACCATTTCCCTGTTAATCTCCCTCATTCCTCTAGACACATGCTAATCTCCAGGTGACAGAATTTTATCTTTTTATTCACATGACCTGTTTGCTACAGACCCACTAATGATCCAAGAGATGTTTAATAGGCAGGTGATGAAAACTGCATTAAAGCAGTGTGGGATAAAACTGCCTAACCCATGATCACTGGGAACTGTCCCAGTATGCAGGCATGAGCCCTACAGAGCACAGTTTTTACCACTGAAAATGTAAGAAATGGGAGAGATCAATGCAGTGCTCTCAGGTGGTATAGAAAGATTAGATTATGATTGATGCTTGAACACATGGAAGTTCAACACCGAGATAACAAAATATCTAAAGCTATCTAAGAAACCTGATGGAAAAGGACCCAGCCTTATAACTTAAAAAGACATTTCTTTCTACTATGTCCTTCTTTATGCATCCAGCATACCAACATCTCAGCTACATACACTGTACACAGCAAACATCACCATTAAAAATTCTGAGGAGAAAACCATCAAGCACTTAGAAGGAAACAATACTGATTATATGTAAATGAAAACTCTTTAATACTGCAAGAAAGCCAAGATTGTGAACGAAGGATGGATTACATAGAATCATACCACAGACTGGTTTGGGTTGGAAGGGACTTTAAAGCCCATCCAGTCCCACCCCACTGCCCCAGGCAGGGCCACCTTCCACCAGCCCAGGTTGCCCAAAGCCCCGTCCAACCTGGCCTTGAACCCTGCCAGGGAGGGGGCAGCCACAGCTTCTCTGGGCAGCCTGTGCCAGGGCCTCACCCCCCTCACAGGGAACAATTTCTTCCTAATACCTAACCTAAATCTAACTTATTTCAATTTAAAACCATTACCTCTCATACTATCCGCCCAGCCCCCCACCCCCCCCACCCGATCCAGAGTCCCCCTCCCTTTCCCGCAGCCCCTTTCAGCCCTGGGAGGCCGCTCTAAGCTCTCCCCAGAGCCTTCTCTTCTCCAGCTGAACCCCCCAACTCTCCCAGCCTGTCCTCACAGGGGGGCTCCAGCCCCCCAGCATCTCCGTGGCCTCCTCTGGCCCCGCTCCAGCAGGTCCGTGTCCTTCTGCTGTTGATGCCCAGAGCTGGACCCAGCCCTGCAGGGGGGTCTCACAGAGCGGAGCAGAGGGGGAGAATCCCCCCCTGGCCCTGTGCCCACCCTGCTCTGGGTGCAGCCCAGCACACGGGGCCTTTCTGGGCTGCCAGCACACATTGCTGGCTCACAGGCAGTTTTCCACCCCCCAACCCCCCCAAGTCCTTCTCCTGGGGGCTGCTCTCCAGCCACTCCTTGCCCAGCCTGGATCTGTGCTTGGGATCGCCCCGACCCATGGGCAGGACCTTGCCCTTGGCCTTGCTGAACTCTGTGAGGCTTACACATCCCGCCTCTCCAGCCTGTTCATGTCTCTCGGGATGGCACATCCTTTCCCTCCAGCGTGCTGACAGCACCACACAGCTTACGGTGAACTTACTGAGGGGGCCTCGATCACACTGTCCATGTCACCGACAAAGATGTTTATTAAACAGTGCCAGTCCCAACACCAACCCCTGAGATACGGCACTCCCTCCAGTGAGAAAGATTTGAAAAGCGAAAGATCTTCATAATCCAGCATCTTAAACCAGCAGGAAGGTTATACTTAAAGGTCTGCAAGCTCAGACTGTTATCTAGTAGGTAGTAGTGGACAAACACAGATTTCGCTGATGAAAAATCCATCCAGCAACCACATCTCGCCTGTCCCCTAACCCTCAAAGGGGCAAGAAAGCGACATGGGCCCCTTTCTAGAGTTAAACCGCGCACACAGGAGCGCCAGACGGGCGGACAACGGCCAGGCCTCTGCAAAACCTTCAGCGCAACCATACGGATACCCCGTAAGAAAGGACTGAGGAAGACACTGCCGGGAGAGCGGGACGAGGGCTCCGATAAAGCGCAGGCCCCCCCCCCACTATGCCGGGCCGGCCGGGAGGGAGCAGGCACAGGGCAGTTGGGCCCGGCCTAAAGGATGGCGCCACGGCGTGTGTCCTCCCCTCGCTCCCGGAAACCCCGCACCGTGAGAGCCGCGGCACAGCCCGGCCGTTACCCGCCCGAGCTTCTCCTCCACAGAAACAGCAACGGCCTCCGGGTCCGGGTTCTGGTCCTGTTGCTGTCCTTTTCCCTGCTCTTCTTGTCCTCCTTCTTGTTGTTGTTCTTCGCATTCCTCCAGCTCCTCTTCCCCTTCTCGCCCCTGCCCCTGCTCCTCTACAGAAGCAGCAACAGCCTCCGGGTCCGGGTTCTGGTCCTGTTGCTGTCCTTTTTCCTGCTCTTCTTGTCCTCCTTCTTGTTGTTGTTCTTCCCATTCCTCCAGCTCTTCTTCCCCTTCTCGCCGCTGCTCCTGCTCCCCCTGCTCCCGCTCCCCCTGCTCCTGCTGCTCCGGCTCCCCCTGCTCCCCCTGCTCCTGCTGCCCCGGCTCCCCCTGCTCCCGCTGCTCCTGCTCCCCCTGCTCCCGCTGCTCCCCCTGCT